AAATTATGAATATTTTTGTAAGTTTATAATTATTTTTTAAAGAGTGCACTAATATGTTATTACCCCTAATAATAATAATATGAGAGTAAATGAATATGTGACATTAATAATAAGTAGATAGTAAAGTGAATACAACATAATTAATTGAGTATAAGGGCACATGATTTTCTTGACTAATCAAGAAAATTTTTGAGAGAAAAACTTGAAAATAAATATATGAATTTTTTTAATAATATATTCATTAATACTACCATTTAAAATAATTTTATATATTTTTATGTAATATGTACAATTATTTCAAAGGTAAATTACGCTGATCTATTTTGAGATTTTAAGAAAATATAAGAAGTTTCATATTTTTAATATAATTATTTAACTTTTAAATAAGTCTACAAAAATTAAAATTAATACAGATAGTATTAAAGTACAAATTATAACTTCAGGCAAAAAGCAAGTCCAATGACTTGCCTAAAGAATTATTAAAAATTGGCATTGCAAAAAATTGTACTGAAATGTCAAATTTTAGTTAGCATTCTTCTATCATTCTCTTTCATAATAGTGCCCTTAAACTGCTCACGTGAACAATTTCTTAATATTTTGAAACTTTTATGGCAATCCTTTTTTGAAGAGTCCATCGCTGATATACCCTTTAACTTTGACTCTAATTTCTTCGTATTTTGAAGCTTTTATGTAATAAAATTTACAATGATGGCATATCAGTGTATTACTCATTTTCATAACATATACAACTATTTTATCTTTATGAACAAATGTCTTTAAGATATTTGCCTCACTAATATCTATTGACCCCACATTTAAATTACCCAATTCGAATATGACACGTGACAAATAAGAGGCATTATAAAACATACAAGTAGTTTTTTAAAAATCTTATTTTGCGAAACTGCTCACATGAACCACGAATGAATGGATTCAACTATAAATCTCCTGAACTACATGTGGGAAGCACATGAGGAAGAAATTTTCAAGAAAGTAGTTTATAGCAGTTATACATGCATAAAGAGAAAATAATGGTCCTAAGAAGTAACGAGAAGAAAGGAGATCATGGTGAAAAATATCAACTCAACTACTTCGATGGTTTGGAAGAAGGCTATAAATAGATAAAAGTAAAGACTTAGAAGGCCCCTCGATCAAATCTAAACTCTACGTCTTTATCAATGTCATCTATTTTTAAATTTCAACACTTTACTTTCATACTCTGCACTTACCTTTCATAGAAGTAGATTAACTCTCTAATCCCACAACTCGGTTGATTTAAAGTTTTGAAATTGCCCTTATTGAGGATAACATTTGTAATTGTTTATTCAGTTAATAAATTTCAATTTCTACCCAATCTCTCCCCTTCCATTCTGTTACAAATTCAAATTCAAGTTAAAAGTATTGGTTCATTTTTTTAACACGACACAGTAAAATCCTTTTCATTGAAGTTAAGAGAATCTTAACACAATCATCTGATTAAATTGATATTTATTATCTATAAGAATTTTTTAGATCCTTATTGACACGCTCTAATTATATTTGTAACCTTCGAAATATCAAAAATAACCAAAACATCTACACAAAATTTATTCACTTTCCAAATTTCTTAACTTATCCCTCACTAATATCTATCACTAAGCTGTACTGGATTCAAATTTCTAAGCTATCCTTCACTGATATCTACACAAAGTTTATTTGCTTATTTATTAGTACAACAATTCTCTATATTATCATGAGAATTATGGCTCTGTTTGAAAGGATTTTCAAATCCTGATTCTATTCTCACATTAGAACATTATGTTTGAATAGGGTTTTAGAACTAGTTTTTCACAACAAACACAAAATTCTATAGAAAACTCTCTGTAAACCGCAATTTTTGAAATTTTTTTTTTTTGAAGTTTGGCCTAACCAGTCGTCCCACCGGATGTCCCACCGGATATCACACCAGTCGTCCGGCCGGTTGACCGGAACAGTGTATTTTTTTTTTTTTACAATTGATATGTTAATTTTTATATATTCGAAAAAAATATTTTCCGAATTTTTTAAATTTTTTTATGTGCTTTAATAGAATTTTGAGCTGTATATTTAGTTATGAGTTGTAAGTTTTTGTATCAAATATCAAATGTCACATAAAAAATTTCCCACTCAATTCAACACTATTTTCAAAACTCTTTTACCAAACAAATTTTATACATTCAAATCATAATTCTAAAACTCACAAACTCAAAATACAACTCATACTCTCAAATCAAAGTTAGAAAGTTTTACCAAACGCAACTTATGTTTCCCCATTAATCAACTTGAATTACATTAGTTGATCAGAATTTTACATTTTATTAGGAGAAAAATATTGGATATTTAGAAGAAAAAAAAATTATCGAAAATTGAATTATGTAATGGGTTCGTTTGGAATGTGGATTGACTTTTTTGACTATTTTAGCCTGAGACTAAAAAATCTCGTTTGGGATAGACTTTTTAGCTTTTTTGACTTTTATGAGAGAAAAAATGAAATGATTATGGTTTAAATGTGACATTTTATCTTATTGAACTAAAAAGTTTATTTTGTCTTTTTGTGACTATTTTAGCCAAAAAAATTTATTTTTAGCTTATGTCAAACGAAGGCAATGTATATTCAAATTTGATAATATATATATATATATATATCTCACACTCAAAATAAATTTATTAATATATTTTTAATTTTAAATACTTTTCATAATTAAGAGGTCAAAAAGTCTTATTATAGAAGATCCGCCCTCTCTACAAATTATGATCACTATTGTATTAAGGCAAATGCTAACAATTGCCACTCATTAATATTGGGAAAGTTTTTTTTTTTTTTTTATAAAAAAAAATGCAATGAAAAAGTATAAAAAGGTTATAAAATATTTTAAAATTCATAAAAGTGTATTGAATTTAATAATAAATGTCTCGAAAATTATATTTCTAACCAATGCCACTTGTTAATATTAGAAAAGTACATAAACAAAAATGCTAGTCACTAACTATTGGCCGATGATTAATGTTCATGTATATGCGTAAAACTTATATTAAAACATATGAAAAATACATAAAAATATGTAAAATATATAAAACATTATTTAGTTTTTAACAAAAGCAAACCCTTAGAACATTTGTGAATGAACAAAATTGGCTCTATGGAAAGACAATTTTCTTTTTTTTTTTTTTTTGGTTTTGTTTTGTTTTGTTTTTGGTAATTTGTTTTATATTGTCTAGTTAATTGAGTTCCAAAGAATGTGTCGTACAATGGCAAACAAGGAACCAAAGTGAGAACATAATTATGGGATGGCCTAAGATCATATGAGCCCTATGACCGCATGAGCCACCCACGTGGGACTCACTTGACATGACACATAGGGTTGGTTTGGGAAGTGGGTTGGCTTTTTGGCTTTTTGACTTTTTTGATTATTTTAGCCTAGGCTAAAAAGCTTAGTTTGGGAAGGGCTTTTTGACTTTTTTGACTTTTTTTGTGAGAGAAGAGTGTAATGATTATGGATTGGATGTGATATTTTGTTCGTTGTGGCTAAAATAACCTATTTTATCTTTTATGGCTAAAATAGCCAAAAAAGCTCACAACCTATCTTCCCAAACGGAGCCATAGTAATTGTTATTATATGCCTTTTTTATTAACCTTAGAACGAGGACCCGGGTCTTTTAAATTTTATGAATCTTTTTAAATTTTTTTACTTTTTGTAAAAAATATTATCATATTATTATTATAATATTATTATAATATTATTATAAAATTCCACGGTGAAAATTTTCAGAATATTCAGAGTAAAATCATCTTTATTCAAATTTATTATTATATATATATGTATGTATGTATTTTTTTAAAAAAATTAAATTAAATTTCTTGTTTGGCTAAACTAAGCAAGCTTTTTACTTTGATTTTTTAATAAAAAAACAACTGTCCAATAGAGTTCAATTAATTAGAGAGAAAATTAGTGAACAAGTCTAATTTAAAGAGAGTATAAGCCATTAGATTTTAGGTAAAATCTTATTTGGTGATAAGAATATGTTAGAAAACTCGGCGGCGACAACAATAACCAGCGGCAACAAGTGATCGTAGTGAGGTAGAGAAATTTGTGACATTCAGCATATAAAGTGTTGAATGAATTACATGTGTCACATTTCAATAGGTAAGTAGTTTAGTGAATTTCAACATATAAACAAATTGAGTGATTTAAAGAGATAGGATGATTTCAAGAAATAAATAAATAGGTTGATTTCAACCGATAATTATCCTTTTAGCCCACAGATATTAGAATTTTAGTTTGATAGCCTAAAAGATTAAGAAATGGAGTGTCATTAATTAAAAAGCTTATTTTTGTAGCATGATTGATTTAATTTTTAAAAGGACAAATAACTTTGCTACTTAATTTTTAACTTTTTTTAACATTTGTCACCTGTGTCAATTTTTATAAGAATTGTTTTTGTCTTTAAAAAAAAAGGTGAAAAAAAAAATTATTAAAAAAATATTTGTCAAACCCTACCATAATAAGGTTCAGACCCCATAAGCTAGGTTACAAATATTCCACGACTTTAAAATAAACAATATAATGAACAAGTAACAATGACTCGTAGTGGAACTAATTATTCACATCTACAAACATTATAATAATGGTTAAAATTTAACAAGCTTCCCCTGTAATACTTTTATAAAAATAAAAAAGGTAAATTACAAATACATCTTCTGAGATTTGATTAAAATATAAATAATTTTTGTAGTTTTGAAAATTATATTTCATCTCCTGAGATTTTTAATTTCATAATAAATCGCTCATTTTATTATTAAACCATCAAGTTAATTAATAATTTTTAATGATGTTAGAAATATATTTTAGGTAATAATTTAGGTAATTTTATTATTGTATAGGAGAACAATTATGAATTTCATTTTTTTAGTTAATTCTGTTAAATAAAAAATACTAACAATAACGTATTTGTAATTTTTCAAATTACAAGAACAATTTATATTTTAAGCAAATCTTAGGAGTGTATTTATAATTTATCCAAATAAAAAGTACAAAAGTCAATATCAAAGAATGAGACTCAAAAATCTCAAATTACAAGTTTAACCCTCTCTCCCAAAATAAAATAAAATACAAATTAAGGTAATAATCCACAATTAAACCTGTCCTTGTTCACAAATTCTATTTGTATTTCATGATTTTAATAATTTACTAGTATCTACCTAATTTATTTATTTTTTTTCAAATATTGTTGTTGAGCTGCTGCTGTAAGAACCAAATATCCTCAACATTCCACAAATTGTCTGATGTGTCCCCCCCTGCATCAAACCACTGGTTGTTGTTCTGCTCCATGGCTTGGAAATCTAACCCATGGTTAAAGTAACCAGAGGGGCTGGTTAGGGAATCTGGGTAGCTAACCTGATTAACTTGGTAATAATCCTGGTTATGGTTATTATTAACCGGATAATTGTAATAATCAGTCAGGTCAGAGACAGGTGAAACCTGCGTCCCAAACGAGTCCGATGAAGCCCCCGTGCTAGAATTCTCCGGTTGTACACCACCGTAGTCGCCCCCAATACTGGTGGCGGGTGGTGGTGGTGGTGGAACCACTTGGCCGGATCTCATACTTATGTTGTTGGGGTGGTGGTGGTGGTAGGTGGTGGTGGAGGTGGTGGAGGAGGATCCGGTGGCTGTGGGGGTGGAACTGGCTTGAATTCTTTCCACCAATCTTGGAATCCAAAGATAGCGCATGGTGTCTTTGAATTGCTTGCTGTTCACGTCACATTGGAGCTGTTTGGCGTGTTTTTGAACCCGGGTTCGCCAATAGTTCTTGATCTCATTATCTGTTCGTCCTGGTAAATGTTGAGCAATTTTTGACCACCTGTGTTATTTTTTTCCAAATAAAATTTCAATTATTCACTTCATACCCACAAACAGAAAATATGATATCATTGAGAATCTGTAATTGTTATGAAAATCAACCCACTTAATTTTTTTATTGATTGGCAATATAAAAAAAAAAAAAGTGATAAAATTTTGAAATTTAGATAAAAAGTGAGACAGTTGCAGAGCAATTTGAGACATACCGATTGCCCCATCGACAGTGAAGCTCTAGAATGAGAAGCTGTTCTTCAGGAGTAATATTTCCACGTCGTACATCAGGGCGTAAATAGTTGAGCCACCTTAATCTACAGCTCTTTCCGGTTCGTTTCAGACCTGTTTCATTAAATCATATAAGAAAATTTTGATAAAATTCTAAACCACGCAAAAAGGAAAGATTTAATCGGCATATTTCACTTTCGAACTCTGTAACACTATTGCCAAAGAAAATTTAGAAAAGAAGAGAGGACTAAAATCAATTATCTAAGTTTTTTTTTTTCTTTCTTTATCATGCGTGGTACTGTTAAAGTAAGGTCATGTATAGCTCTATGCGATCATAGCCAGGCCCCAAGAAAGTTGAACCCATGTGTGTTTGTTTACCAAGAAAATAAAGCTTCAGCTACATTAATTTTCTCAATTCTTACATAAATGACCAAGATTTTCCAACTCAGAATTATTACATAATTGAAAAGAACAGGAAAGTTGAAACTACCTAAAAATAGACAAATAAACTCTAATTTTTGTATCAACAGAAAGGAAAGTATAGAATTACCCATCTGAAAAATGTCCATTTCAATCAACATAATTGATTTAAGTAATCAAGATCAAGTGGGTTTTTGTAAATTTGGATTAAAATTGAAGTGGGGGCATGAATTACCAGCACAGCGAGCAAGAGAGTTCCAGCGGCCTTCACCGTGCTTGGCGATGAAGTTCATGAGGGTCATGTCTTCTTCAACAGTCCAGGGTCCTCTCCTCAGTTCCATCATCTCTTCTTCACTTTGAATGGCAGAGTTGCACTCTCTACCTTCCACTTCCATTAATGGACACTCTGATTGATAGTTACACAAAAGTATTTGTTTTATGAGATTGATTTTTTTAGAGAGAGAGAGAGAGAGAGATTGGATTAATACAAGAAGATAGAGAAGGTGTGCTTTATATAGATATACAAATAGATAGGTTTGAAAATTGATTATAATTAAATGGTGGTATGTGGTGGAAGAACACAAGCCGCAATAGCAACTTTAGTTTAATAAATAAATATATTGAATTTAATTAATAATTAAATTTACACTTTGAACTTGTTTTGTAATTGAAGTTATATACAGCAAAAAAAAAAAAGGGGGATAGCTTTGAAGTTTGACGCTTTGACTTTTCCCATCCCTGTCTGTCAGTGGGATTGGCAGTTCCGTCCATGGAATTGAAAATTTTCGTTTCCCCCATACCAGTTGCCAAATTTTCTATTTCCTCTGTTCGGTGATGGGGCCAAACAATACATTCTTGTAAATTATGTGGACTAATTTTCGACAATGAAATGACTGTCACGAATACAAATTTTCAAGTATAAAGTCGAAACTCTTCGTTTAACACCCATTGATTTTAAGTGAAGTGTTTTTTTTTTTTCGTAATTTCTGATTTTTTTTTTTTTTTTTTTTTTTTTTTCTGATTATTTTTTTTTTACTTTTTTTTTATTGTGTAATCTGATATTAAAATAAAAAGAAAAAAAGGTTATAGAAAGTTGTGATTACTAATTTGAGGCACCGTCCAGCTTATGTAGCCGTTTCCCAAGCATAGAAAGGGCTATTTTTTTTATGTAGGCCTTTGAGGCTATGCTACAATCAATATACCAAAAGTAATTGCTACCATTTACAGTCTTTTATTTTATTTTTTTTTTGTTAAAAATAAATAAATATATCTATATATATATATTTGATACAAGTATTTTAAAAATTAAATTTAAAAATCAGAGGTAGTTCCTAGTAAAAGTTGATGACTAAAAATGATTGTCGATAACTAAATATAGTGGCCGAAGATGGTAGCTGCCCATCAAAGGTGATTTCATGGGAGAAGTAGTGGCTAAAGGTGATTTTCAGTGGAAGATGGTTGCTAATGATGATTGTCAATGGTGAAGATAATTGTTGATGGAGGTCAATCTGGCGAAGATAATTGAAGTGAAAGTAGAGGTGGCCAGTAGTGCAGTTGGATGAAAATTTATTTTCTAAATAAATGAAATCAATCTTATTTTGGTTACAAGAATTATGTAAATTTCATAAAATATTTACAATTTTTGTATTAAAAAAAAAAAAAAGGATACCAGATAAGTTTTTGTTTAACTTTTTCAAAATTTTTATAAACGTAAATGTTGGCTATATATTTTGTATAGGCCAATCGCAACTTAACATGTGGCTCGTAAAGGGTAATTTGGAGAGTTAATGCGAGTCTCCAATCAGCAGCAGACACGTGGCAGTTCATATTGGTAATAATGAATCTGCGCAATATCGGAACAGTTAGAAGGCGCAAGATGACGTAACCTAATGGTTACTCGCAATTCAAATTCAAATTCAAATTCAAATTCAAATTCAGGAGGGAGATCTAACTGCAACAATGACGTAGTGGAAGCTAATTGTGCGAGACCATGATCAATGATCATGGGAGCGTATTTCGACGGTTGGAAACCCATTTCGACGGTTACCATTAAAAAGTAAAAATAGAAGAGAAGGCCACCAAAAGGAGGATCCAGACTCAAATTCAAAAATCAATTATTTAATTCATATTTTTCTTTACAGTTGTTATATTTCTAGTTCTTCAATTCCTGTACTGCACTTCATTTCCTAAGAGTAGTTTCAAGTAATTGTTGCTATAAACCTTTTCGAGATTGGGTCATTGTAAGGTCATTGTAAGTTCTTATTTACTCAATGAAATTCAGTTTTTGAGCTGTTCTTTGTACTTGTCATTATTTATAAGTTTTCCTAAGCAAGCCACCAGTAAAAGTTCTCTTCATTGAGACTGAAAGAACTTCAACACAATCATCTGATAATTGGTTGGCAATTAAAATTCTATAAGGAATTGGGACCGAAAGAACTTCAACACAATCATCTGATAATTTGTTGGCAATTAAAATTCTGTAAGGACTTATTGACCCTTGCTGACACGCTTAAATTTATATAATTAACTTTTAAAAGCCAAAAAGCCAACAGTAAACAAAAAAAAGATAAAATAAAATGTATGAATGTTATCTAATAAATCTTATTGTGTGGGTGATTTTCCGACCACACTACCCGCTTAGTAACCAGCTGGAGTGCACTGGCAGAATAGATGGCACCTGACTGACCTGCAACAGAGATACAAGAATCCCGCGGTGGTTTCGACCACCCGGGGGCACTCCGACGATCAAGTCAGTATATCTTTCAAAGATAAATCAAGTATTCAACTCACAAGCTTGAGTATAAAAACATACCTTAGACCCATGGGGTGCCTCTCTTTTATAGCCAATACAATCCTAGTCCCAAAAGGAGCCTGGCCCTAATGGATTTAGGATTACTGCTAATCTGGGACTCCCAGTGGGATTAGGATAAACTCTCTAAGAGTCTTATCTTTACCCAAACTGAAGTCTTCTTCCAATCTAGGACTCTTGTCCATATCCAAGTTGAGTGCCCTCTTTATTTTAGGACTCTTGTCCCTTATCCACTTATTTCGGATTCCGATATCTTCGGAGATAACCTCGGCCTTGCCGAGATCACCTCGGCGTCACAACCAGGACACGTGGCACCTCGGCTGACACGTCAACGTCACCTTGCCACGTGTTGGTACTCAGAAAATATATCCCCACAACTGCCCCCTAGGTTCTATTACCTCGGCATCCTGAGGTGATGGAACCTACACTGTTCGTTCATCTGTGCCCCTCTATCTGATATCAAACTTGCCGACCTCAAAGTTCCCTGGACTTTACTGTCCACTGGTGTCAAGAGTCAAGTTTCATGCTTTCCAAGCTGCTTGAAATCGTACCTCCTAGCCGAGATTCTGGTTCCATTAATTCGAAAATTCCAAGAGTTTTTGCAACTGCTCCACTCACACTCTCTAGTGAGTTCCCGATTTCCAGTCACTTATTTGACTCCGGCGATTTTCATATCGGCGTTCATTTCACTTTTGTAGGTTCATAAACTCTTTTATTAAGCTCAATCTTTCATAACTCTTTTGAATCCGTTTACTTGCCCTCTGTTGTCTTCTATTTTCGTCTGTCTTCGAGTTTTTGATTTATTGCTAAAATGCCTGGAACTGTTCTTGTCATATCCGCTTTCTGTTGCTAGTATCATGTCTGGTTCATTACTTTCTTGTTCTTCACATACTTACTTAGTGCCTGTGCACTTGGCTTTATTCTTTGAACTTTGTCATCTTCTTGACTTCTGTTTTTCTCTTTTTTCATTTAATCCTCTGGCTTCTTCGCTTTCTAGCTCTTTTGCTTGAATCCGCCATTTGTTCCAAGCTTTCAAGCTTCTGCAACTGTCTTCGTTTCTCTCCTCCGGTGAAGCTTTACGTCATTCTGTCATTGTCGTCAAACTTTGGCAAATCTCATTCCGACTTCCCTCTTTCTGGTAAGCCACTGTTCCTCCTGGTTTTATTTCTTGTTGCTTTCCAAGAAGCTCTGCTTCATTGTTAATCACCATTGTTATTTTACCCGTTATTTCCAAATCATCTTCTTGAATACACACTGTTCACACATCTGTCGATTTCTACTACTGTTCTTGGCTTGACACACTTGTGCAATCTTTTTGCCTTGATTTCTTGCTTTCAATCTTTGCCTTCAAACTCCGAGGTGCCAATCGCCAAGAAGAGCTTTGATCAAACTCTTCAGGAGGTTGATGCTGAGTTCGTGGCTGAGAAGGCTGCTGAGAAGTTCTTTCCAACTGTCTTCTGGGGGTGAGATACAACCTACCGTTGATGCCGAGTAGTTTGCTTCCTTCTTGAAATTGATGCCGAAGTAGCGGTAGAGAAGCTCCTCCAACTGACTGCCGAGGCTGAACCATTGTCGTCCATCGAAGCAGATTAGTCCGACGTTCTTGCTTTCAGTCCCTAATTCTTTAAGGTCTTCATTTTTGTACTTGCCAACCTTCTCAGCTCTTAACAAGCTAGTTGGTCATCTCGGTTGATCATATCTCAGAAACGTCTTTCAGTGTTTATCTCGGCTATACCAAATTTGTAAATTGCTACAAATTTCAACAAGTGGTAGACTTCATAATCTTCGGTTAACTCATCTTGTAATTTGCTCAAAAATTTCAACAAGTGTTAACATTCCTTGCTCCTTAATTATCATTCCTTCCCCCTACACCTTCTCCCTGCCCCCTAATGTGAACGTAAGTTGTACTTAGGATCACATTAGGGAAGTTGGCTTCGTGCCGTAGTCACAGACCTGATGTGTTCTTCTTTCGCCGATGTATTAAAACTTCTGGTATTTAATTCACCCCCTTTAGACCCTCTTATTCTTGGCTTTTGCAAATTATCATCGCTGTTTCTTGAAGCATTTATTCCTTTCACAATTCTGGTCACTACTTCTGGCGTGCATTTAGTGGTTCTAATCAAAACGACGTTTGACTCCGGCGAAGCTTTTGCCGACATTTAACTTTGTGCACTCTTGTAAATTCTCTCAAAATTTCAACAAGTGTAAAACATCATTTCTGTTTAACTTCGGTTAAGTATCATCTCAATTTAACTTCAGTTAAACATCACCTCAGTTTAACTTCGGTTAAACATCATCTCGGCTTAACTTCGGTTAAGCATCATCTCAGTTTTTGAAGTTTTTCCTTCTTTTTGTCGCTTGTACTCTTGTACCTTTTTGCTCTTTAGATAATGTAAGCTCTGTATATGGCCGATGTGCCTCTTTGTTCTTCAATGTCTAATTCAACTTTCCTTCTCTGAATGAAGCGCTCTTCGTCGCCCTCCTGGACGAGGATTTTCTTCAGTGTCTCTTCACTCTTTTTGGCTGACTCCTTGCCGATATCATCTAGGACCTCCATGTCCTTGTCTTCAATCTCTGCCTTCCCTG